AAGCCAGTATTTAAATCCTCATGGTTTGTGGAGGCATTAACAGAATATCAGATTTCATGAATGGTGAAGGAAGCTATTTGTCACTAAGGGATTTTGAAGAAAAATTTCATTTAAAGGTCAATTTTGTCACAAACCATGGTGTTCTTGTGCAAGAGTCTTTCAATTTATCGACCTGCTTCATATGAACGTTTGGATCATATCCCTGTTGTCAGAAGTATACTGTCTGTTAAAAAGGGAGCAAAATATTTTCTTACTACATCCTATCTGCTTCAAAACAGGTCTTCAAGCGCTAAAGTTAAATGGGAGAACATATTTTCAGTAGACTTCAACTTGGAAGAGATATTCCTAAAACCAATAAAGACAACACCAGACACAAAGCTTAGGTGGTTTCAGTTAAGGATACTGCATAGATTGCTGTCAACCAATTCCTATTTGGCCAAGATTAAGATAGCATCTAGTAACAAGTGCTCCTTTTGTGGGGATTGTGCTGAAACTCTTGTTAATTTATTTTGGGAATGCAGTTATGTCCAAACTTTCTGGAGGTCACTCTCAGACTCGTTCCTTGAAAAATGTTCTCATGTGTGTAGCGTAACCTTTACTTCGGAGCTTGTTATTTTTGGTTACAAAGATAACTTTATCTCCGATGAAGTCTTTGGTCTCATTTATTATTAGCAAAGTTCCATGTTTATAAATGCAAAATGCTTCTTTCACTCCAAATATTACTTGTTTTAAGAGACTGTGTGAGTGATAGATACAAGATTAAGAAAACAAGATATTTCTCTAAAAGTGAAAACATTAAATTCTATAAAAAATGGATGTCGTATCATGGCTCTTGTAGACCATTAATACACTCCCAGCAGGCATCGGTATAACACCATATTAAACTTCTCACCCAAATCTATATCACAGTATATAACCTCAAAGTGTCATTTCATCTATCACCGTTAGCAATTTCAAAGTTTCATATACACGTATATCGTCACTTTCCTGAGTGGGGCGTAAAACTAAACTCACTCACTCACTCACTAATGACGAACACGAGTAGGTTGGGGCTGTACTGAAATAAGAATTGATCCTAGGAAATATGTGAAACTGAGGGTGTAGATGAAAAGGAAACTCTTCCACATGTTTTGGAAAATATAAATGCGCTGCTTTGTCTCCTTGTAAAAATTAAGTGGCAATTAATTCAGTCAATTTTGGTGTGGTGTTATTTATAACAGACCAGATGATACCGGAAAATGGTCACCATGTAAATTTCAGAAATTGTGTCAGTTCTGTATCAAACAAGGTCCTAAAGGAAATGGGTTTGAGTTTGCAATCTTTGTTAAACTTTACCAATCATCATTTTACCTTTGAGTTGGTATATATTATGTATCTATGTTAAACACAATACACAGATATAATGACCCGTGAAGATCCGGGTTAGAATTGGTCTTCAGTAACCCATGCTTGTCGAAGGAGGCTACTAACGAGATCGGGTGGTCAGGCTCGCTGACTTGGTTGACACAAATCATCGTATCCCAACTGCGTAGATCGATGCTCATGTTGCTGATCACTGGATTGTCTGGTCCAGACTCGATTATTTACAACCCGACGCCATATAGCTTGGACATTGTTGTATGCGGCATTCAACAACTAACAAACACAACAACAACATAAATATACAACGTCAGCACAAAACAATATGCACTCGCGTGTAATATTGCAGTTTTAACTATGGAGCTTCTTTGAGAGGAAGTGGTGTAATAACATCGTTAGTTTTTATAGTCATCCCGGTGAAGAATCTGGATAATGTTTTAACGTTTAAGACGGTGCTGTCTGTGTTCAGCTGATCTAAGTCTATTGGGTGACAATCAAAACACGAGGTATAGACCACAGGCCCTAGTGTCTTTGCGAGGGTTAAAGATTTTGAAAAAATATAAAATATTTGAGATGACCCCCGACTCGAAATGCTTCACAGTACAATACGTCATGATGTATGGTATTGTTAAGTATTTCGAGTCGGGGGTCATCTCACCCCAAAAGATTTTTTAATCTTTAATCTTCGTTAAGTCTCGAGGGCCTGTGGTATAGACTACGAGCAATCAAAGCTAGGCCACCTTACTAGGGATCATGCAGACTTACAGTACTTCAGCTTCCTGCATGATGGCATTTGGATAGGATCTGGTGTAATAACATCGTTAGCGGTTATACTCAGCGTGGTGAAGAAACTGGATTATTATTTAGCGTATGGCCCTTTAAGGCGGTGCTGTCTGTTTTCAGCTGATCTAAGTCAATTGGGTGACACCAGCAATGAAAGCTAGGCCACCTTACCAGTGATCGTGCAGACTTTTGTACAGTACTTCAGAGTCCTGCACGAATCCCCAGCAGGATTTGTGTCATCACTGCATAAATGATACATAAATGGCTAAGGCAGGAAAACATTTGAAAAAAGTACGAAAGTTGCCAAGGAAATATCATTTCAAGATATAGTTTTTTTCTAATATATATAGTTTATATGTGTAAAACGTATTCCACCTGTGACAACAGTATTGATATATTTTCGCCGTATTTGATAACAACCCGAAGTAATTACAGGTTGTTTTGTTGTGTAATACGCTGACATCGATTACACAGAATTCGAAAACTATTTTATATTATTCGCAAAACTACAATACAAGCTGACATCTGGACTTGAATAGTCACGGCTGGATGTGGGTATTTGTCGTGATGTTGCTGGAACATATTACTGCGGCGTAAAACCACACTCACTCGTTCACTCTCGGTGTGATTATGTAATCCTGATGCGATACATGGTGTGTATAATTTCTATTTTGTATAATGTACAAACCTGACGTCATTATATTAATTAAATACTTTCTTCTAGAAATATCTGAAACTGCATCAACATGTGTTTTCGTACTCATCTTTAAAAAGTGGGTTATTGCATGTTAAATGCTCATGGATATATACTGGAAAAAATAAGTTAGGGATATTGGTATTTTTATTATTGATACTTTATCAGTGTGTCAATGAATGAATAGATCATTATTCATAATTTCAAAGTTAACATACATCCCTAACCATTTTTGTGTTGTATATTTCATTATGGCCTTGAGCATGAAGTACAAATTCAATATCGTAACATGTCATTTGTAGTACTCTGACACGGGGTCTGTAAGCGAAGAAGATTATTGTGTCACCATGAGTTTTCAATTTCTAATAAAGTATTTTAGGAACATACACTTAGTGTATTATCATCACTAAAACCTCATACTTATCTTTTGTCATGCAGCTCCATATTCGAAAAGCTCTCTTCTACCTGCTATTTTGGATGGAGGGAGCATATGTTTTGGGGGTATTTAATCTTAATGTAATTAACTATTTCTTCTCTTTTCCTGTACCGGTAAATCATTAATTGTGAAATTATTGGTTTGTAGTGATTGGCTATGCTGGCTATGTAAGAGGAAACACTGAAAACAGTGCTGCATATTTTTGTCTGCTGCACATGCGCACACAGACTAAAACAAAAATCATGTGCCTCCATATCAGACACTAGCTAAAAATGTTCTTGAAAATGATGACCAACTTTTGTGCTTTATTAATAAATGCACATATTTAATGGAAACGTTATCTCAGCCGCTTCACTAAGGCGGATGATAAGCTTTCATGTATAGCTTCATAAGGTTACATGATAATTGTATCTTAAATATCGTTGTTTGAAACCGTTTGAACTTATGAATTAGTGTGAAATTCAAGTTGACGAGGAAAGACGAATCATTAAACACGAAGGTTATACATCTGATCTTGAATGTATAATTTGATCATGCAAATATTTTATTTCACTGATCTTCTAATAGTTCTTTAGGCTGAGGCACCTGTATGTCATACAGACTGGTAATAGGTTGATTATGCAGCATACGAGCGGTGCGGTAGCCCTGTGGTTAAACCGTTCGCTCGTCGCGCCGAAGACCAGAGTTCGATTCCCCACATGCCGTACAATGTGTGAAGCCCATTTCTGGTGTTCCTCGCCGTGATGTTGCTGGAATAATGCTAAAAGCGGCTTAAAACTACACTCACTGCACTGAGTGAATGAAGACTCCATTCGTCACCACTCGCCCCTTTCCGTAACCTTCAAGAAATTCTCGTCTCGATGCGTGTAATGTGCGAAAATACGTAAAACCCGAACAGAATGGGCGTAATGATTGCGGTGTTTGGGTAAAAAATAATCCCGACTACTTAAATCATTTATGGAATTATGCCGGTCATTGTATAAAAAATCATGAAAGTACAAAGAACATAGCTAACACAGTTATGTTGCATCATGTGAAGTTTTTAAAAAGCTTAATGGCATTAATGGTGACAGATTCACACACACGTGCGTTCGTACATATGATGGCTGTAATGGGTCTACATTGAGTGTATTTCTGACGAACTTGAGGGCTTGTTTTGGAGATTGTACGTGCGCTTCAAATATTTTTAGGAAATATAATTACAAATCACTACGAGTTTTAAAACAATACTATTACAACTACAACATTGGGCTTATATTTCACATCTCTGGAAATACTTTATTTATTGAATGTTCAGTTTGAGAAATATACTCATGCCAATAATGGTTGTCACCCTCTTCAATTTTTTTAATTGGAGAGGGGGTGAGTGTGTGAGGTGTGTGTGGGGTTGGGGTGGGAGGGGGGTGACAACCATTATTGGCATGAGTATATTTTAGAGAGTATTATATTTTGTTGAGTATCTGCTTTGGGATTTAATGTAGCTGAAAAAAATATCATTTCATTTGCATATTCAATTTAACATATCCAATTTGTGATTCTTAGACGGTATTTAGAGATATATATTTGGAAACATGAGTGGAACGAACAGCTGGTAATAATTACGTTTACTAATAGAGTATAATTTTATCCAAAAAAATTCACCCTTCTTTTAGTTGCAGGTGTTTTAGAGGTATTTGTTTTTAAACATATAAATAAAAACGAAAACAAAAACGGCAATACAATATACGAGGGCTTCGGTGATATTATGAAGTACCATTGGAATCAAACAGGAATAGAGTTATCGTTCTTGTTTAAAGTACTAGTAGTTTTGATGTTAATGCGTCACCATGAAATCCTTCCAGACTGGCACGAGTCGCTATTCGGCTTGTCCCGGAATAACACGAGTTGGTCATGAATGTGATGACTCCTGTGTTTGGTGCACACAGACCAAGGATCGAAGCGAACCCAGGACTTCAATCCTCAACACAATGACCAAGGGACGCAACTCTACAGTGCCTGTGACCAAATAGACTGTCCGTGTGAGTTTCTGTTATGTACAACTCTTATCCCATACCCTGTTGTACAACATAAGACACTGTAGAGAATCACTAGTTACGAATAAGTTGAACACTACTAAAGATTGGTGTACACTTACTTTTTGAGAGCAGTTTGCCACCCTTATAAAGAAATCGTTGATATTACGAACCATTCGTGCAATTGAAGTTTTCTGTCCTGGTATCCAAATGGGTCTGGCCGATTGACCTATCCATAATTTCACAAATATGAAAATTATTATTATACGAATACGAATTGTTTTTGTTTCACGTTTCAACGTGAACGTAAACGTTTCAGTATTTAGCAACGTTACTCGGTGTTGGCGGTGGGGTTGCTTAGTGGTTAAGGCGTTGGCTCATCACGCCGAAAACCCGGGTTCGATTCCCAATATGTGTACAATGTGTTAAGCTCATTTCTGGTGTTCCCCGCCGTGATATTGCTGGAATATTGCTAAAAGCGGCGTAAAACCAAACTCACTCACTCACCCCTTTTTCAAAACATGTTCTTTCATTTAAACATCTCACAACGCCAGCAATAATATTAAGATGTCCTGGTATTACTAAAAGCGGAGTGAGAAATGTTGCGACAGAGTTAACATATTCTTTTCACATTCTCGACAGTGCAGGAGACATTTTTCTAAAGTTTTGAGCTCTGTGAGAAGCATGTCCAAGCGAATAAAATACAACAGCAAATCAATGTGTCAAAATAGGTGTCGAATGTGACAGGATACATATTTTGGAGATTTGAAACCTCAGCGTACGACAGAAAAACAATTCCAATAACACTGTTTTTGTACAGTAAAAGTTATCATTTAGACATTGGGATATGTGTGAACATTGTTCATTAAACATGTCAATGATAATCTCTAGCATTACAAGAGTATATTTACTTAGGTAACCTGCATTATCACATTTTCAATGCATCATGCAAAAAGAGCTTGTGTATTGATATTAGTTCCCTTGAAGTAACATAGGATACTTCCGTGGTTAGCGAGTTGAGCTGTCATGAATATGTCTTTGGTCGGAAAATTTAAATGAAACCATGTATTTTTTCCCACATGTATTTCATGGGTATTTCATGGCGTCTTATGTCAGTATACTTGCATGAATCATATGACAGGATGAATTTGTCATCTGGTAATCGTGTCATCCGTTGTAGGTATTAAAACACAATATGTAATGAGTTTGTAGCTCGACGACCAGAAAGTCATAACATTGCTATATTTGCATAAATAATATACATTATATTCATATATGACATGACAGATATAGTTCAGTTATGATTTGAGCTCTGCGAGAGTTTGCTATGTCATTGCTAGTTTTCTATAATGTATATTTATTCTTTAGTTTTCAAGAATATCTAGGTAAACACATAGTTTCGCCTTTCTCTCGGGTCAAATATGATCGGGTCTACTTTCAGTTAGCATCAGTTTTATTTTCAGTTCATTTCAGAAGGTTATGCGATATCTGTTTAATAAATCTACATTCGTATAATATGTGAGCAATTGCTTCTATTTCAACACTGTAGAGTGTACAAAGTGATGGTTCTATGAACAATGAATCAATAAAACCATACATGGTCAAATTAAATGGGATCAGGTGAGTGAGTGAGTTTAGTTTTACGCCGCACTCAGCAATGTTCCAGCTCTATGGCGGCGGTCTGTAAATAATCGAGTCTGGACCAGACAATCTAGTGATGACCATCGGTTTACGCAACTGGGATACGATGACATGTGTCAACCAAGTCGGCGAGCCTGAGCACCCGATTCCGTTAGTCTCCTCTTACGACAAGCATGGGTTAAACAACAAACAAACATTATCTTTAAAATAAAACTTTGAAAAAAATTATTTGCATTTGTGATTAATTTCATTCTTTGTGTCCATGTTAACGCTTTCTCGAGCCAGTGTCGGGTGTTCCTTATAACAATGTCTGCTCAAGTGGGATTTCACTGTTCTGGTCTTAACTGTCTGTATACATGGGTTCCTAATTTCCTCTATCCTATTTCATGAAATTGACTCGTATCGAATTTGTAGATAATATTGACAAGAGGTCAGGAAGGATTGACCTGATCGGGTGATTATCTATAGACTAGCAAGTGAGGCGATCGATTTCACTAACCTATGGGAAGACCTGACCCCTGTGTCAACAGGCGCGATAATCTCGAGACGACCATACACAGACCGGCGCCTTCTGTGTTGAAGCGTGAGTGCTTGATATGTATGTTGTCAATAATTGTTTGAAATGTACACCGGGGCGGTGGGGTAGTCTAGTGGTTAAAGCGTTGGCTCGTCACGCCGAAGACCCGGGTTCGAATCCCCACATGGGTACAATAAGTGAAGCCCATTTCTGGTGTCCCCCGCCGTGATATTGCTGGAATATTGATAAAAGCGGCGTAAAACCAAACTCAGTCAGTCAGTGAAATGTACACCTGAAATATACAAGACATGCAATGTGCCAGCTGGATTTACATTATGCATATGGATCTTTGTTTGTTTGTTGTTTAAGCCGCACCCAAAAACATTTCACTTAGTCAACGGCGGTCTGTAAATTAGGCAATCTAGTGATTGACATCATGAGCATCGATCTATACTTTTGGGATACGATGATATGCATGTACCAAATCAGCATATGTATCTATCGAAATGAAATACGTAAAAGGTAGATGTTATTACATTCACACAGAATGTTTCAATTATTATGGGCGGTGGGTAGCCTTGTGGTTAAGGCGTTCGCTCGTTACGCCGAAGACCTGGGTTCGATTCCCCACATGGGCACAATAAGTGTGAAGCCCATTTCTGGTGTCCCCCACCGTGATATTGCTCGAAAATTTATAAAAGCGAGGTAAAACTAAACTCACTCATTCGCTACACACCATGTATCGACACTTTGTTTTTGTTGAACATACAATTTGTAAATATATAAATTACAATTATTTTGTTTACATAACACTCAGCAGTATTCAAGCGATATGATGGCAGTCTGTAAATGAATGAATCTGGGTCATAATGAGCATTAATGAACAACAGGGACAGGATGACAGGTAAGTGACCATGTCCACTCGATCCCCTCAGCCGCCACTTTCGAGAAGCATTCATTCTAAACAATTCTAACCTTAATCTCCACAAGATTTGTAGTCCCAACCGCAGGGATAAACAAGCTTTTCAGTAAAAATTGTTGTATGTTTAATTTTCAACTTCACAGTCGATACCACTAAAATGATTTGTATATTTACATCTACATGGTTCTACAAGTTAAAACCCGTGAAGATCCGGGTAAGAATTGAACTTCAGCAACCCATGCTTGACGTAAGAAGCGACTAAAGGGATCGGGTGATCAGTCTCGTTGACTTGGTTGACACATGCCATCGTATCCCAATTCTGTAGATGGATGATGAAGCTGTTGATCACTGGATTGTGTGGTCTAGACTCGATCATTTACAGACCGCCGCCATATAGCTTGAATATTGCCGAGTGCGGCGTAACACTAAACTCACACACTCTATAAGCTAAAATTCAATTTAAAACCTCAACATGTACTTCTTTTTATCACCGACGGAAACCATGGTAACGACCGGCAAAGTAAGGATCTGCTTCCTGGTTACACACCCTCACCAAATGTTTTCCCATAGACTTCTAGTAACCTTATACTTTTAAATAGACAAGCTATCAACAGCCATTCCATGTACACATGGGTACACTCCGGCCTTTAAACTACAATAAAACACAATATCAGGCCAACTTGTCCCGCTCGTTTTGCGAGGACAGGAAGCGGAACACATCAACCCCAATTCCGCACCAAATGTCACCTACTGAAATATCTGTACACAGTAAGCATAAGTCGGTGGATGAAAATGACAAGCAATTGAATACTGAAATTGTGGTCGTGTTTTAATTACTGGTTGGATATGCTTTTAAAACAAACATCTTACACTATTTTGATTGTTTACATACGGACCGGTTTCAGCGAAAGCGCGATACTCGGATTTAGTGTAGTGTAACCTCCTTATTTGTAGGCGTTTTCGTGTTTGTTTACAGTTCTATGGAAACAAATGGTCACTGTCGAGAAGTCCCAACCTCTTTATTTAACTTGCTGCAAATGACCTTAACGTATCTGTCCATTATAACCGGCACTGCATGTGTAGCCTATGGAGACTGCAACTTCACTTTCTGAGATAAACGTCTGTGAAATAACAGAAAAGGGAATCGGAAGACCTCGATATTTCTGACTGAAACGAACCCTCAACTTTCCACACTGGTACTGATCTTTACAGGGCTTTAGAGAATTGACTGCGTGTTTTCAAGAACTAACAGACACGACGTGGTAGTGAACTACATATCCGACGTTGGGACATATAGGCATTGATTTAAACTTATAAACATCAGGTATTGATCCCATGAGAAGCACAGCTATTGGCTGTTTGATGTTGTTTAAACATCTGACGCCTCGTTCTGACTTTCGTTCCATAGAAGTCGTTGTTGCCACAATTTGTCCCCTTGTTTTTAACAGAATCGCCATTAGCCTACTACCTATCGCTCTGCATTTCGTTGACTACAGCATCGTTCCGAGTTCTGCTACTGACAAGATGTTTACAAGGCTGCATATTCAAGGTATTTAAGCAGACATTCATTGTATTTTAAAGTGTTTAAAGTGTAGATTACCATTGAAATTGGCCGTAGTTTGACAGCAGTAACGGTGGATGATCATTGGGTCGCCATTTTGCAATTTTAGAAAATTCCCAAATGTATCTGGTTTACCGTCTTTTTGCCCGCGAAATGAGAGCTCGGTATTTATGTACGACGGTCGGTATGGTTACAACTCAGACATGTTTTTACTATTTATAAGACATAGCTTGGGCATATTTTTCTGTCCACTTTTCATTCAAATAGTCGGCCCATAATGGTTTTAGTAATAGATGGATTGTATACCAGCAGCAATTAAATGCCCATTAATATTCTTGTAATTCATACTTGTCCCGGAAAGAGATTCCATTGGCTCCATGGTCTATATTATCGGCAATCCGCTTGTCCACTATCGTGTCGACGGCCCCTAAATCATTTTGGTTGTAGTCGCCGAAGTCGTCATGTATTTAATGTGTATTTAAATGTGTTGTTTTGGATATTTTCAGCACGGAAGATATGATCCGGTATCATGTCACCCTGTTGCTATTCATGGCCGTCGCTGGACGAGGAATCCGACTGTGTATGCATTTTATCTATCTTCTTCAGCTCGACGGAATAGTTTGCTTTTGTCCATGTTTCCATAATCGTCGTATGCACACGGAGACATTTTATTGTATTTTCATATGCGGTGTGCTGAAAATAAGTCTCCGGTACCCCTCCCATTTACACGTTAACTTCATACAATCTGTCAGCACAGCCTGTTTGTCTTGAGATACTGTATCATAAAGTGTGTAATCTGGGGCTATGCACTATGACCCTATCTGACATTGTTTCTTATAACCAACTCCTATAAACCTCGCCCACGACGCCTTTCTCCCACCCTCCCCACTCACCGATGTAGCGTCCCCGGCTTCGTCCCCGAGCCCTCCCGACCCTGAGCTTTCAGCACTTGTTCTGGGCCCGCCCTGACCACACGGCGAGACACTCCCGCCCCAGTCACCATCACCTATGTCGACTATTACCGTCCTGGGCGACGACGACAGTGACTACTGTCTAAGGAGGATGAGGACGACACAGTTTTGTGGAGGATATCTTCACCGCGGAGGAAGGCGCTGAGGAGAGTGGTTTCTTAGAGAGAGTATTCTCGTAGATTCTCATCCAGTGTGTGTGTGTGTGTGTGTGTGTGTGTGTGTGTGTGTGCGGTGGTGTGCGTGGTGTGCGTGCTTGCGTTTGAGTTATGTGTGTGTGCGTGTGGTGAATATACATGTGTGAGAACATGTTTGCGAAGCTTGATCGGATGTAGACGTGTATGTGTGCGAGTGTTTGATGTATGATAATGTGAATGTGAGAGAATGCGCTCTTATGTTTGGAGAAAGAGAGAGAGAGAAAGAGAGAGAGAGAGACAGACAGAGAGAGAGAGCGCGGGTGATATTCTTCTGTATCTGTTATACATATGATTTGCATGCCTATTCTGATGTGCATGTTTTCAGGTTGCTGACACGTTTCCACGCCCGTATAATAATTATTATCCCATTTGGTTCTCTTGGTCTGTTTTGTCATACATTTTGGCCTCTTTGGCCACACCCTTTCGATCACATCTTTGCATACCCTTTACGACATTTAAGGTTTATTTCTAATGAGAGGACCATTCTTCCTTGGACCCGATTCGGATACTTTCTACACGTGCCATCTATTTCTTGATATATAATAAATATTATGAATGGTATACATGAGTCTGTTTTCCTTCTTGATCTACTAAGAACTAGGTAATAGTAACACACACAGCAGGAGAGGCACTAACCAAGCTCACTTATCGTTATACAACCAAAGTTGCTATAAGAGAACCACTAACAAATGAAGATGGAGCTGAGGGTCGTCGTCTGCTCATCCCGCTGTGTTGCTGTCTTTAGCCGAGGTTTAACAAGTTCTGTGATGAAAATGACGGAGTCTATAGTCGCGCTGTAGCTACAAACCTGATGTCGGCAGCGGAGAGGACATTTTTACAAGGCTTTACCGTACTTTAAGCCAGCACAGGTGAATGACGAGAGTGGTCTTCACTCTTTGTACGTCGTTGTCACTTCGGTTCTTGAAGTGAGTGAGTGGGATTTCAACGCCTGCAGCAAGCAATATTCCAGCTGTATCACGGCAGGAATACCAGAAGTAATCGAACCTCGTCCTTCCGCAGGGTGAAATCTAGAACGCTGACCACAAGGCTACCTACCAATTTGCACCGTCTTTGAAGATATTTGTACATATTCAAGCACGAAAAGCGGGTTATGCCTCGTCTAGTGGTCATTTTCAACCCAGGTAATAGACGTATCCTTTCTTTTCGGTCTTGTATGATGTTGGGACATTTATGGTGCTCACATGTTCCTTGATAGATATACCCGTGAAGATCTCAAGCGAATTCGGCCCTCGGTAACCTTGTCTGTCGTATTAAGAAGTGACACGGATCGGGTGGTCAGGCTCGCTGACTTGGCTGACACATGTCATCGTATCCCAAATGCGTAGATCGATGCTCATGCTGTTGATCACCGCCGCAATATAGCTGGAATATTGCTGAGTGTGGCGTTAAACAACCAACCAACCCTGATAGATATAGGTTTCATTATTTGATGAAGAAAACAGAGTGGTGTTTGAGAAACAGCCATTTTGACTAGGTCTAGACTCCCCTTGATATTTTAGACACGGAAATCGCCATGACTTCAAAGTGAGTGAGTGCTCACTGCTCCTACTACAAACTACCACCACTACTACCACTACCATTACTACTACTGCTACTACCACCACTACTACTACTACCACCTGTCAGAACAGGTCGGTCATCATAAGTAACTGCGTAGAAGCTATCACGCTCTTTGCCTTTATTACCTCAGAGGCCTTGCCTTGGAATTCAGATGCTGGAATATGGCTGAATATTATAGCCGGGTTTAAGTTCTGATTGAATCATGCACAAATTAGCAAACCCATCACGCAAGCAGGTTAATGAGCTTAAAGTGTATTTGAAGGAATGGATGGACTGGTCTTCTTATCCAGCTTGGTCTAGCTGATGTACCGCACACCACTTTGTCAGACTATTAGCGAGTTGCTTCAGCCTGATTTTACCCAGCTGAATTAGGTAGCTTATCTTCCGCGGCAATTAGTGCAGCTACTGACAACCCATAAATGTACACCACGAGCTGGCCACACCAGCAGACAGTGCCCATCGGATGAATGGACTTTTGCTTAGCAACTACTTTATTATTGTCTACCTGAAGTTTGCCAGCGTTAAAACTCGGGGTCCAAACATATGACACAACATGTTCCTTTTTATCACTGACGAAACCATGCGGTAACGACTGCAGAAGTAAGGATCTGCTTCCTGGTTATTAATAATTACACCGTTTTCCCCATAGACTTCTATAGTAACCTTATACATTTTTAAATAGATTAAGCTTATCACAGCCATTCTTACGTGGCCGCTTACGGGTACAATCTTGGCCTTTAAACTACAATAAACACAATATCAGGCCAACTTGTCCGGTCGTTTTATGAGGACAGGAAGCGGAACACATCAACCCCAATTCCGCACCAAATGTCACCACTGAAAATATTCGTACACACAGTAAGTTAAGGTCATGGTGATGAAATGACAGCACTGAATACTAAAATTGTGGTCGTTTTACTACTGTTGATATGCTTTTAAAACAAACATCTTACACTAATTCATCATCCAATCACAGCTGTCATATGTCTCTGTCTCTTGACTTGTTTACATACGGACCGGCTCTACATAAGCGATACCGATTTAGTGGTAGTAACTTCCTTATTTGTAGGCGTTTCGTGTTTGTTTACAGTTCTATGGAAACAAATGGTCACTGTCGAGAAGTCCCAACCTCATTTAACTGCAACCGCCTAACGTATATCTGTCCATTATAACCGGCACCTCGTATGTGTAGCCTATAGACTGCAACTTCACTTTCTGGAGATAAACGTCTGTGAAATAACAGAAAAGGGAATCGGAAGACCTGATATTTCTGGACTGAAACGAACCCTCAACTTCTGTACACACTGTACTGATCTTACAGGTTTTTAGAGAATTGGATCGCGTGTTTTCTCAAGAACCAATAGACACGACGTAGTGAATCACAGTATATCCGACGTTGGACATATAGGTGATTTAAACTTATAAACATCAGGTATTTGATCCTGAGAAGCAGCTTATAGCAGCAATGCACCCGAAGAAGTACTGT